GAACTTAATTAGATTTCTCCACAATTTTTCCAATGGAGTATTGAGCGACTAAGTGACTCTCTTACTTAATAGAAAGTAGACTAAAAAAGTTCTAAACACGTATGTGCAGTAATGTCATTTTAAAAACATTTGTACTTCTTTTATTTTATTTCAGTCCATTTCCTCTTCAATCCATTTATTTAAGCGTTCAAAGCGTACTCAAATTGGACGATCCCTTTCCCTACAATATTAAATCTGATGTTACATCTATCGGTCGTTTTTGCGAACCATTTTAAACATTACTGACATGAGTGAACCGCTTGCAATTTCACAAACGATCCGACAAATTGAAAGGTATTAATACAGGTCAATAGTTAAGTGGAAGGACGAGATCGTGTGTAATCTCTCCGAAATTTCATTTATGATGAAATGACAGTACATTTTATGCTGTAAGATACCCTAGACAATAATTTTGTAGTCTCTCTACTGTCTCTCAGAATCTTTCAGTCTTTCAGCGTCTCTCACAGTCTCTAAGTTATTGCCTAGGTGTTTTTATGACTCAGAGACNATGATGATGATGATGAAGATACTGAACAAAATATTAAAAATCGTTAAATATAAACGACATTATAGGTAGGTACAATAACTTTTCAACACAGAATCTATAAACTTAGGATAAATTGTAGGTATTATCATAGTAACGCTGACAGTAGTTTTTAGATAATAAAGAGTTTTAGAAAATACTACAAATGGCACAGTAAACGCAATCTGTAGCACGATGCTACATTTTAGGACGTTAGCTTAATCGAATAAAATAATTCGAAGTGGTCTGTATTAAATAAAGAGTTTGTTATCCCTTTTTTGACTTTGATTACTTAAAAAATTCGTGTACCAGCTAAAAGAACTTAATCAATTGTTCGCCAACTGTTGAGGTAGATCGATGAATGCAGTGGGCATTGGAGTGAACAATCGAGTGCGGGAGGTAAAGTGTCGCCTTCGCTACGTCGCTGCGACGCTGCCGACGCCGAACACGGCAGCGACGCCTTTAAAATAGAACAAGTCGGAAGGATTACATAAGGAAGAAAAGAATACAACCGCCACGTCCGCGTCACGAGAAATTCATGCTGCGCAGTCTAACGGACCGCTAAGCAATTTTCATGCATCCTTAAACACTTTCAAGAACTTTGCTACAGAATATATTGCGTTTCCCTTATATCGGATGAGTTGGGACGCAGTGCTATGCAGTGTTGGCTCGCATCGTCTGGGCTGAGCCTCAAATACCTTGCTGGAAGAGGCAAGATTCACAATACACTTACGTAAAACGCAACGCTTAACCATTATCATCAACAATTCTAAACAAAACCATATTTGAAAATATGTTCTTAAAACATTTTTGGAAGTAGTTGATGATTCCTTGTTGGTTATTTAGTACAGGCCTGACGCTGGAAGCTGGCGGAAATTTTACAATGGCGTGGATGCGCGGTGGCAAAAGTAGGCAGTTTTAGGTATAACGATTGCAGCCCTCATTCTTCAGTATTCCTATCAGGGGCGTAGATTAAATATTTAAAAATAGGGATCAGTGAGCAAGTAATAGACAGACAAACAGAAGAACTAATTGTTGATGTTGGTGACAGTGATAGAGATTCCCATGATGACAGTGAATGTGAAAACTAACTATAAAACGAAAGCAATAGGTTTATTTTTTCTTTTTCTTATGTTTCTAAATTACATTCTAGTACGCTACTGTCCTATCTGTATTAATACTATAATTTACGCCTACTGAAATATAATAATCATTTGTGTATCGGTTCCAAGTGTCTTACCCAAATAGGTCATAAATGGGCAAGTACCTGCGCGACCGCTCGCCAGCTTCCTTCGTCAGACCTGTACATGGATTTGTTTTTGTAAATAGGGTAAAGTTAGTGAGATTATTTGAGAATTTTGGTTGTGTTTCTGAAGAAACAGGAAAGTAACAATTTAATTGTATGCCAAAGGAAATTCTTTCAAGGTGTTTTTCCTAATAGGAGTGAAAATGTAGTTCTAATATTTATAAGACGAGCAGTTGCCGCAGAACAGCGGACAAAAAATTTAAGGTACGGAATAAATCGAGCATGAATTTCTTTAGATGTAGAATGACCATGGTTTCGAGAGAATTTGGAATTGTGGAAACCGGATGGTATTTTGTCGTATCCGTTTCCGAATTGAAATGTTTCCGTTTAATTAATCAAAATGCGGTTAGTTGATTTAGAATTAATAATAGGACCGTTTCGTGCGATAACTTGGTTTTATCTAAATGCAGAGACAGAAATTTCGTACAATATCCAGGACTAAATTAGGTTTATAATACACTTAGAACGGCTTACGTATTATCAATGCTCCGAAACCAGATTATAATCAAACAGATGCTTCCAATACGAGAGGACGTAAGTCTCGCAAATTCCATTTCAAGTAGGTACAAGCACTTTGGCGAAATTGGAGATTCACAACCAATTATTAGTTCCTTTTCATCCCAAGTATCATATAATCACATTTAAAACGTCTCTAATTCGGTTTTCTAACACACCGAATTATACGTATCGCTGCCTTTCACATCATCATCATCATAAGGTCCTAAGACTAGTTGGACACGTACCTCCACTCTTTCCTATCCTGAGCTAATCTTCGCCTTTCCCTAAAACTAAAACAACCCGCATCCTTAACCATCTACGAACAGTAATCTAATCTTGGTCTACCTCTACACCTCCTAATCCCCGTTTCATCCTCTAATATGCCTCTTTCTTATTGACTCCCATATAATCCTCTTTTCTCCTATTTTTTCAAATACCCCCTCATTTCTAACCTTCCCTATTTTAAGTATATTTACAAGTCGACCATTCTACAGATCGTCATTTATCGGATTTTGTTATGTCGTCGTGTGACACGGGGCAATTTTCAATGTTCGATCGGTGTGGTGTTATTCGAAGCGTTATTGTGCATAGTTAAAACAATTGCAGCTATGGAATTTCATTAACTGCATTTGGAGATGGCTTATTGACTTGCTATTCCGCGTTAAAGTACGTAACGGTTTTCATTTAATTTTCACCGATACAACCAGATTTAATGACAATTCGGGACAGTTGTAACGTTGGAGCGCAATTTAAATTAGATCGCGGGGGCGGTCGCGGTTGCTCGTGGCGAGGACGGTACGGGGCAGGCACCCTATCAGTAGCGACAGTACGAATCAATCCCGTAATGACGATTTTTAACGAGATATTTTCTGTTGGCTTTGTTTGCATGTCCGCCATTGTTAATTCGGGCTGAAACGTGCTCTAAATAGCGTTTCTATTGCCCCGATTTAATAACGGTAAGGCTTACTCGCTCAGTGAATAAATTTCCGTCTGTTTTTCATTTTGTTCGGCGAATTATTTTAATTTCGGATAGATATTAAATTTCTAAAATTCCCAAACGATAGTTTTAACTATCTAATGTATATAGTAGGGTTGTTAAACCCTTATATGGGATCAACACTAATCGTAACCGTCTGACGTATTATTCGGTAACAAAATTACTTTGTTCAGAAATTGAAGAGAATAGAAATTTAAGGAAAACAAAAGTAATATTGAATTATTTTAATTGAAACTATCTTTAAAATAATAATAAGAAAAATATTATTACTATTACCTACAGCGATAGTTATATGGGTTAATTGGATAGCTTTTGCTGACAATGATTAAATTGTACCTAATAAAAATTACAATTTAGACCCGAATTTGTAAAAATAAAATCCCAGCAGAAGTAAATTTACTAGGTATTTTAGTTGATATTGAAAATTTAATTGTAATAATTAAGAAACGAAATAATT